CAGAGTCCATCTCCTTGCGCAAACATGGCAAGTTGTATGGAAGTTTCCGCTGCAGTGCTACTGAAAACGACAACTGGGTGTCGTTTCTTATCAGCAGCCCGTAGTGATGAATCGGGCAGTGTAAGGTGCTCCGAAGAGATGCTCTGCCATGGCTTGGCCAGTTCATTACAACATCTTTTTGTCTGTGAGGATTATGCATCTATCTTCAGAGCAGTGGTGATATGGATGTGCTCTTCCAGCCGACTTATGACCTGTGCCCCTACCCATGTCTAAGGGGGTCCCAGATTCATCAGAAGAACATACTACTGCCTCCAAGATGTTTCTCTATCCTCCTCTTATTATCACTCACTTGGCCTGGCTTTCGGGTCTTTAATTTCCTGGATCAAGGTTAACAACAAACAAAAAAAACAAATCGCTTGGGCGTCGTTTCCAACTTCCTAGTGGCTGAGCCTATCTTCTGAACAGGCTCAGGATTCCTCTGCCTGTGCAAAGGGTGTACCTGAGCCTTTACTTCAGGCTAGTATCAAAGACCCCTGTGGATGTGGTGGCAGCTGAAGCTGTCACTGTTGAGGCTTCTGGAGCCTTAACTGATGGCTCCAAAGACCTTACTTTGGGAGGAGTCTCCTCAATAGACCCTTCACTCCTACTCTGTTTCAGGTGGAACAACTCACCAGAGGCAGTTTCAGCATTTGCGGACTGATTTTTAAAGGTAGTGGCAGAGTGTGTGGTGTTAGAAGTATTGGAGGGTAAGGGATGGCAAAAGACTTACCCGGCTGTGCAAACAGCACACGGGCATGTCGGCTTGCTTCTGCAAAACTAACTTTCTCCTTGCTCCTTATTACCAATACTTTTTTTTCCAACTTGTATCTTTTACATTGCTTAGAAGAAGCTTCATGTTCTTTGCAGTGGTAACAGCATACTGGACCTGGACGGTTATCATCTCCTTGATGACCTGTTGTACCACACTTCACACACACTCTTGGTTGTCCATTTTCCTTAAAACAGCAAGAGTTGGCTCCATGCCCATAACCCCGACAGTGGAAGCACCGCATAGGGTTGGGCACATTTGGCTTGACCTTGAGGTGGTACCAAGCCAACTTAATTGATTCAGGAAGGACTAATGTTTCAAAAGTTAAAAGAAGAGCTGGTGTCGACTGTTCTAAACCATCAACTTTCTTCTTAAAACGTTTTACAGCCACTACATTAAAATTCTTTAATTCTTCTAACAGTTTCTCCTCAGAATACCTCATCAGGTCTCGGGAAAAGACAATTCCCTTACACTGATTGAGTGTTTTTTGAGGAGAACATGAGACTTGAGCCCCAGGAATGTTGTATATCGCACACAGACGGTCACTCTCATCTGGTGATGAAACCTCAACTATCAGGCTACCATCTCGCTGTGGGGTGATGCGAGGATCACGTTGACATACCTCAACAATCTTCCGATGTACTTCAAAAATATCAAGATCCATGATTGATACACCATCAATGGTTTTCACAACTAAGTATTTACTATATGAGATACTTTCATATTTACCAGGTAAGATTTCCTTAATGGACTGAAGAGGACTTTTCTCCTTCTTACCTGGTTTGGGAGCTCTGGAACCATTACGATTCCCATTCTTGCCCTCTGAAATCTGGTAAGGTTCCAGAGTGACATGTGATGTTCCATAGGGATTGGCCAAGGGATTGCGTAGGTCGTCAGGGAGAGACCTTGTTTTTTGTAGATTTGTTGAAATCATAAAAGTTAGAAATCTTCATTTCCTCACCCCCCATCCAGCATGGAGTCCAACGAGGGGAAGCTATAGTTGGGACTTAAAATCTCCCAACAGCCACAGGGGTAGTGAGGAAACATACGCAGTCACTATTAGTGCTAATGGTAGTCGCAGGACCTATGTGATACCGACTGGATAGTGCCTGCTTGACCCTAGCCATATTTGACCAGGCGATTGACTTGACCGGGCCTTGATCAAGTCACCCGTCTAACCAGAATAAAGGACCAAAGAGGTGTGTTGCTAGCTGCAGGGCGCAGCGTGCACCATCGCTCGACATCCATGACTCCTGTCTCCTGGTAATACGATACGTCACGCACGGCAAACACACGTGGGAGAGTTCTCCCTGGTCCAAGATGGAATGAACCAAGGCCTTGGTGCACCTGGAAGCCATTTTGTCTCATCCCTCACTGGTGACCCCTCCAGTATGGGTAGCCCTCTGGTCCGGCTCACCAGTTCATTGGGACCTCAAGAGAGAGGGAGAGAAAAGTGAGAAAGAGGGAAGAAAGAGTGAGAGAGAGAGAGAGAGAGGGGGGGGGGAGAAAAGTGAGCGAGAAAGAGAGAAGGAAGAGTGAGAGAGAGAGAGACCGAGAGATCAGAGTGCACAAAAGATGCGGAGAGTAGAAAAGGTGTGAGGCAGAATATAGGTAAAGGAGGAGACTAAAGCAAGGGGAGATGCAGGGGAGGGGGGGGGGGGGCGAATGAAAGCAAGGATAAGGTGGATAAAA